AGGTAAGAAACAGTAAACCCGAGAAAACCCTAAACCCGAGAAAACCCTAAACCCGAGAAAACCCTAAACCATAGAAAACCCTAAACCCTTGGAAACCCTAAACCCTTGGAAACCCTAAACCCTTGAAAACCCTAAACCCTAGGAAACCCTAAACCCTAGTATATAAACCTAAACCCTAATGCATAAACCTAAACCCTAATAAATAAACCTAAACCCTAATAAATAAACCTAAACCCTAATAAATAAACCTAAACCCTAATAAATAAACCTAAACCCTGATAAATAAACCTAAACCCTAATAAATAAACCTAAACCCTAATGCATAAACCTAAACCCTAATCCTCCCGTTTCACACTAAAAAAAAAACGGCGCCCCCCAAACCAAAACCACCCCGCCACATAAATACATTTATCTATTTATATATATACTTACATATCTATTTATTTATTAATTTATTTATTTATTTTATTTATTTTTTTTTTTATTAGGATCGCGAGCGTATAAACATGGGTCGTGAGGAGTACCCTAGTTCAACAGCATTTTTATTAGGTAGCAACGATCTGCTGCAGAACCCCTGGCTATCTATTTTACGTTTTCTTTCTTTGTTTCTTTCTCTTGTCCCTCTTTCTCTTCCTCTTATACTTGATGGTGCTTATTGTATACAAGCTCTTCTTATACAAGGAGATGCGGCCATGATGGTATGCTCTGCTGCTGCTGCTGCTGCTGTTGCTGCTGCTGCTGTTGCTGCTGCTGCTGCTGCTGCTGATGATGATGATGATGATGGTGGTGGTGGTGGTGGTGCTGCTGCTGCTGCTGCTGATGATGATGGTGGTGGTGCTGCTGTTGCTGCTGCTGTTGCTGCTGCTGTTGCTGCTGCTGATGATGATGATGATGATGGTGGTGGTGCTGCTGCTGTTGCTGCTGCAGGTGTAGGGGAGGAGGGGGTGCAGAGATATTGCTGTTGGTGTTTGTGTTGCTGCTGCTGCTGCTGCTGCTGTTGCTGCTGCTGTTGCTGCTGCTTCATCGGCAGCAGATTCATTTGTTGTT